ATATGTATACGTGTATCTATATATACTCGTTTGTATATACGTATGTCTATCGGAATCATACCCTACAAATCCTGCGCAACACTACAAATCCACAGAGCTACAACTCGTTCTCACCTCATTTTGTTGGCCCTATTTCACCCCCTCCCACTCAGTGGTATCACCCCCGTCACCTCTCCGCGGTCTATGTCCGCCAAGAAGGTGTACTTGTTGTCCATATCCAACGTACTGGCACGCAATATTCCCGCAGGTATCGATGCCAGTGTAGCTTTCCACATGGCCGACATAAACCTGGAGACCGAGCGCGTGAAGAGCACCTATCCCGTGTTCAAACTGGTGAGGCTGAGATGTATGCGTGGAGAAGGGTGGTGTGTGCCGATGTATCTGTGTACGCTACACAGGTTGCTCAGTGTGCGTGTATGCGTGTAGTGTGTCTAGTGAGGTGTGTGCAGGCATATCAGCTGCATGAGACGCAAGTGTCTTGTTGTGGTTTGCCTCAGCGTTTTAAGATGTTTTAAGATGAACGTACCTTTAAAACTGCATATGTATATATTCAAGTCTGTCACCCTTTCCATGCACGCATGCTGCAAATCTGTGGCTGGCTATAGCGTCGATTGTATAGTATGGCTTGCTTAAGTGCTGCCGAGATACTCTCAGATACCTATAACACACGCCAGTATTGTTCTTATTGCATGAACAGATGTATCGTAAATTTGATCTGTTGTTTTATCCTTGTTCGTACACTGCAGAAGCACGCCCATATCACTGTGCGCATGATCTAAGACAATCGCATACTGTAGCTTACTTCACTGACCTGGAGGTTTACTTCTAAACATGTATTATATGTAGTTGGGCATGTCTTACTCGCTCTAAGTTGCCATGGCAACCGACTCACATATCGTTTGTCATGCCAACAGACGCATTGCTGTCACTTAACGCTGTATTAAACCCTGCTGCAGCACGGCACCACCGAGTTCACCGCCACTCAAACGGAGTTTGAGAAATTGGAGCTGAAGATTGAACTCAAGCATCACGGGAAGACGTTGGCGTCCTTCACATTCAAGGCAGAGGATATGCTGGTGGGCCCCAGACACTACGACGTACAACTGGCGAGGTAGGTACATTGGGAGCATATTCTGTTTATAGATTTTGCATGCGCCGTGCCTGTGTGCGTACAATATTGTACATATCCGAGTACCGTGTGGTGTAGCCATGTTATGTAGCTGATAGTACACGTCGTATGGCTGACTTATCAACTGTAGGTATATTGTATCTATTTATAGCGTTTGCATGCGCCGTGCCTGTGTCCGTATGATATTGTACATATCCGAGTACCGTGTGGTGTAGCCATGTTATGTAGCTGATAGTACACGTCGTATGGCTGACTTATCAACTGTAGGTATATTGTATCTATTTATAGCTTTTGCATGCGCCGTGCCTGTGTCCGTACGATATTG